GGAGAAATTGGTGTAGGAGAAATAAATGATGTGGATAGATCAGAGACGCAAAGAATACAAGAACACATTCAAAAACGGAAGATTTTAATTTTATTATAATGAAATATGAAACCATCATAACGTAAAATGTCATTACAACAAAGACCATAACGATGAACCAAATGCCTTTTTATGGACGATAATAACGAGAAAAAATCTCATAATGATTGTCTCTGATATGCATCAAATAATCATTAAAAGGACGATTACTCCTATAATGTGAATTTACCTGTAGAAAATGTTATAATGAACAAGTTTTCTTGTAGCAATGCATAGGAAAGATTTCATTTTAATGTCAATTAATTGCAAAGTGAAAGTACTCCAATAGCCATTATTCTTGTTTTCTAAAATAAGAAGACGATGTTGGGCATAAAGAAGCTTATTTTTTTCCATTAAGTAACCTTTTGATAAAACTTTCAAAAGTAACAGAGAAAAAATTTCTTCTGGTTCGGTTTTTGGTGAAAGTTTTGAAAATATATTCTAGTGACATATCACATTTTTATGTCCTTATGTATATAGAATTTTCAATTTTTTTTTTTTTTTTTTTTTTTTTAAATTGTATATTTTTTTCCGTTTTGGAATTTGTGAAATCTGTATGAATGAACATATGGTTTTTGCAGAGGTCGCATAGCATTACACGGATAACGCTAATAACTGTACTTTGTGAAGAATGACGGCAATTTCAACCATTCAAATTCCAACAGAAATTTTCTCACTTTTTTAGAGCAAGAAATTAGAAAAATTAGCAAAATTTGTTTTCTCCCCATCGAAGTAATGTAATTCACAGCTGAATGCGATTTAAAACAGTTGTTTGGCACTTAGCATACCTAAAGAATTAACACTTTTTTCGATTAGCAAGCTTAGTATTTTTATGTTTACCTTCCACAAGGCAAATTTGCTATCTATTTACAAACAGATGAATTGCTTTTAGCAATAATCTCAAATTAAGAAGCAGCTTCTGTACTAATATAGAATCTGTTCGAAATGTTGAGTTTTTAAATCTTTGAAGAGGTATGTTGTTATAATATACAACATGAAAATTCAACGAATTTTGATCACAATTCTTCGCGGTCTTATATTTTGAGTGGAAAATGCATGTGTTTTTCCCCCTGGCTTTTCTGTACATCTTGCAAGAGAAGACTTGTGCTTGCTTTATATTTTCGAAAGCAAATATTTTCTGGTCAAGATTTAAAATTCTTTGAAAGCCAGATTACGAATTTAAGACCAAGAGGTAAATATCATCGAACAATCAGAAATATATAGTCACAAGTAATACACAGCATGTTTAAGAAAAGTCTGTGAGCAAATGTTAATTAGTAATTCAATAGTACCCCAAATCTAATGTGAATAAATGCACTCACGTGAATAAACCAGAAGTATCTGTCGAGACTGTAGCTCTACTGGTTTGTACTTATAAAAAAACATTGCACTATTCTATGTATCTTAGTGTAGTCTACTTGTGTGCCAACTTATTTTTAAAATCAAACTAAAACTGTAGAAGGAATAGTGTTTTAAAGGAATTTCACAGAAAATTCTATTTTTAGTAACTATGGCATCACCGTTCATCAAAATCAAAAACCGATGCACTATTCTATGTATCTTAGTGTAGTCTACTTGTGTGCCAAGTTATTTTGAAATCAGACCAAAACTGTAGAAGGAGTAGCGTTTAAAAGGAATTTCACAGAAAATTCTATTTTTAGTAACCATGGCAACACCGTTCATCCAAATCAAAAACCATTGCACTATTTTATGTATCTTAGTGTAGTCTACTTATTTTGAAATCAGATCAAAACTGTAGCAGGATTAGTGTTTTAAAGGAATTTCACAGAAAATTCTATTTTTAGTAACCATGGCAACACCATTCATCGAAATCAAAAATCGATGCACTACTCTATGTATCTTAGTGTAGTCTACTTGTGTGCCAAGTTATTTTGAAATCAGACCAAAACTGTAGAAGGAGTAGCGTTTTAAAGGAATTTCACAGAAAATTCTATTTTTAGTAACCATGGCAACACCGTTCAACAAAATCAAAAATCGATGCACTATTCTATGTATCTTTGTGTAGTCTACTTGTGTGCCAAGTTATATTGAAATCAGATCAAAACTGTAGAAGGATTAGCGTTTTAAAGGAATTTCACAGAAAATTCTATTTTTAGTAACCATGGCAACACCATTCATCGAAATTAAAAATCGATGCACTATTCTATGTATCTTAGTGTAGTCTACTTGTGTGCCAAGTTATTCTGAAATCAGACCAAAACTGTAGAAGGAGTAGCGTTTTAAAGGAATTTCACAGAAAATTCTATTTTTAGTAACCATGGCAACACCGTTCATCGAAATCAAAAACCGATGCACTATTCTATGTATCTTAATGTAGTCTACTTGTGTGCCAAGTTATATTGAAATCAGATCAAAACTGTAGAAGGAGTAGTGTTTTAAAGGAATTTCACAGAAAATTCTATTTTTAGTAACCATGGCAACACCGTTCATCGAAATTAAAAACCGATGCACTATTCTATGTATCTTAGTAAAGTCTACTTGTGTGCCAAGTAATATTGAAATCAGACTAAAATTGTAGGAGTAGCGTTTTGAAAAATTGTTTACAGACAGACGGACAGACAGACAGACAGACAGACAGACGGACGGACGCCGGACGCATTACTATCGCATAAGCTCTTCTGGTCTCTGACCAGTAGAGCTAAAAAAAACAGTTACAGGCGGTTTCAGTGACAAAATATGCATCCTACCATATGGGTTGTCTTAACATAGAGTGTGCTGAAAAATTAAAGCATATACGAGGAGTAGTTGCTCAGAAAACTTCGAATGGACAGAACCATGCAAACATTACATGTAGGTACCTTTTAGATTGGGGGTTGGAAATACAAAAGCCGTCTCTTTAGTTGCAAAATCTACGTCGAATTTTCCTTTTTATAATTAAACTTAAGGATATGTGGTCAAAATTGATAATACTCTTTGAAAAGTGTAATCAATTAATGTACTTGTAAACTTTCTCTTTTTCAAACAAATTTCCAATGCCAAAATTGTTACGTCAAGGTAATGAGGTCAAACATATTGCAATTGAAAAGATCAGACAGAATCGAGATTCTGGATTATCTGAAAACTTATCTCTCATTCATAAATATGAACAATGCTTTTCAGAAGTAGGTTATTTTTTAATTTCACAATCATGAGCTCAGAAATCAGAGTAGTTTTAGAAAGACCTTGTTGCAGGTAATGAACATGTGAATTTGCGAATGTCTTTTATGTGTTCAATTATTCTAGATCTGTACCAATACACGAACCTAGTATTTTGAATTTCTCTCAAAATTTATCACCAACTAAAACATTTTAGGTATTTGGAACTTCTTGATCGAAATTATAGGGTCAAAAATCTAAGTGCATTTGGAAAGATATTGTCACAGGTCAAATACTTCAATTATATATACCGTTTTGAAAGGAAGACAGAAATAAGGTATCGCAAAACAGAGCATGTTTGAATTATGTTGCTCTTTAAAGTCAAAAGTTGTCTTTACGAGCTAGGACCAAGCAACACTAATGCTAAGAGTCTATGAACAAACAGCCACAATTTTCTGTGTCTGCCGCGTGATGCATGAAAGGATTTTTCCCTATATAATCTTATGTAAAAACTTGACCCTTCACTGGGCCCACACCCTAACCCTGGGGGTTATGATTTCAACAAATCTGAATCTCAACCACCTGAAGATGCTTACATTAGTTACATATAAAAAGAAATACTAATCATGGATTTGCTGTTCTCCAGAAAATTTTTAAAGATATTTTAATATATACCTGTATTCCTATTATGTAAAATCTGATCCGACATTGTGTCCCCACCATACCCTCAAGAATTCTGATTTGAACAATCTTAAATCTACGCTTCTGAGGATGCTTCCATATAAATATCACAAATCATGGCTTTGCTGTTCTTGAGAAATCTACACCATGCACCTGAGGATGATTCCACGAGATTCATCTTTTGGAGGAAAATTATTGCACAAAAAGAAAGATAACTCAAGTTAAGTCATATGGTTTTGTTTCTATCAGTTGTCATTCTAAAGATAAAATGTACTTTATATTGCATATTTATTATTATTATCAAATTTTATATAGATAAAACAATAAATTAATTAAATGAGAGCTTGTTTTTATTTAAAAGTAAAATAGGAGGTAAACAATGGTTTCTTCTGGATATAAGTTAAAGGAAACTACCAACCACACATATGTAGTAAGATTAATTTTTTAGGTACTAATTTTATGTTTATTAATTTGAAATACATAAATCATGTTTTCTTACTTTATTTTTATAACTAGATTGCTTGATTAGTCTAACACCTAACCTAGAAAAGAAATTTTCCAAAATTTAAATCACAACTTGACTTTTGTAACGAATCGAAGCAAACGTTTTTTAACAAACATATTTTTTTGTTTCTGTTTGGTTTTTCAGGAAATGTGTAAATTTAATTATGATTTTTGTACAAATTTGCAAAATCTTTTTAGTGAAAAGACATGTGGTGTCCTGTGGTTTAAAGAAGGGACCAAATGAATTATTTTTTATCTAATATAGAAATGTATGATTGTATCAAAACAATCCTCCTTGAGCTCCTTGGGTCAAATTAGGACAACCCTCGACATTTAATTGAAGATCCAGCAGAGGGACTAAGTCACCTGGAACACAGTCTCCTAAAAATATAGTACCAGGTAAACACATGGAAAAATTTAAAAGAAAATCAAAACAACTTCATTGAATTGAAGAAAAAAAACAACAACAAATTGTTGCAAATGGCTTTTGGGCCTATATATTTTAAGTTCTTGATAAAACTTTTATTGATAAGAAACAGCACTTTTATTATCACAAATTAAACTACACCTGTACTAGGTTTGATACTGAAGAGCAGGTGGAATTGTGAAACGTACAGTTCAACTAGTCGACAAAGCATTGCGTAATGATAGGACGGTGTTGTACGTTCCTCCTGCTCTTAAGCCTTTTCTACTTTTCCGAAGCAGTGAAAGCCCAGAGTGAAGAATTGGCCGTGCTTCGAAAAACTTTAGAAGACCTCACTAGCACAGTTCATTTTCAGAACAAACGCCTAGACGCACTCCAGAAGATTGTGCTACGGCAAAGGATGAGAGCGAGAGATGAGTATTATTGCAAGTCCTGTAAGGTTCATTACAATGAATGGACAAAAGGGAGCACTCTGTCTGAGACCCTGTTTAATTTGAATCCAAATTCCAAGAAAGCGGTTAATTCTTCCTCCTTCTATCAAGACAACAAACCAAAGCCCATCGGAAATGCACAAAAACTCCAACGAAAGGGTAACTATCATCTTTGTTCAATGTTTCACAAAATTGATGCGAAACTACATCAAATTCGCATTAAAAGATTAACAAAGAGTTGTAACTGAATTCCATCAGTTTGGAAACCAGAAGTCTCTGTCGAGACTGTAGCTCTACTGGTTTGTACTTATTAAAAACCATTGCACTATTTTATGTATCTTTGTGTAGTCTACTTGTGTGCCAACTTATTTTGAAATCAGACAAAAACTGTAGAAGGTGTAGCGTTTTTAAGGAATTCCACAGAAAATTCTATTTTGAGTAACCATAGCAATACCGTTCATCGAAATCAAAAACCGATGCACTATTCTATGTATCTTAGTGTAGTCTACTTGTGTGCCAAGTTATATTGAAATCAGACCAAAACTGTAGAAGGAGTAGCGTTTTAAAAGGATTTCACAGAAAATCCTATTTTTAGTAACCATGGCAACACCGTTCATCGAAATCAAAAAACGATGCACTATTCTATGTATCTTAGTGTAGTCTACTTGTGTACCAAGTTATACTGAAATCAGACAAAAACTGTAGAAGGAGTAGCGTTTTTAAGGAATTTTACAGAAAATTCCATTTTTAGTAACCATGGCAACACCGTTCATCGAAATTAAAAACCGATGCACTATTCTATGTATCTTAGTGTAGTCTACTTGTGTGCCAAGTTATATTGAAATCAGACCAAAACTGTAGAAGGAGTAGCGTTTTAAAGGAATTTCACAGAAAATTCTATTTTTAGTAACCATGGCAACACCGTTCACCGAAATCAAAAATCGATGCACTATTCTATGTATCTTAGTGTAGTCTACTTGTGTGCCAAGTTATACTGAAATCAGACCAAAACTGTAGAAGGAGTAGCGTTTTTAAGGAATTTTACAGAAAATTCTATTTTTAGTAACCATGACAACACCGTTCATCGAAATCAAAAACCGATGCACTTTTCTATGTATCTTAGTGTAGTCTACTTGTGTGCCAAGTTATACTGAAATCAGACCAAAACTGTAAAAGGAGTAGCGTTTTAAAGGAATTTCACAGAAAATTCTATTTTTAGTAACCATGGCAACACCGTTCATCGAAATCAAAAATCGATGCACTATTCTATGTATCTTAGTGTAGTCTACTTGTGTGCCAAGTTATACTGAAATCAGACCAAAACTGTAGAAGGAGTAGCGTTTTAAAGGAATTTCACAGACAATTCTATTTTTAGTAACCATGGCAACACAGTTCATTGAAATCAAAAAACGATGCACTATTCTATGTATCTTAGTGTAGTCTACTTGTGTGCCAAGTTATACTGAAATCAGACCAAAACTGTAGAAGGAGTAGCGTTTTTTAGGAATTTCACAGAAAATTCTATTTTTAGTAACCATGGCAACACCGTTCATTGAAATCAAAAACCGATGCACTATTCTATGTATCTTAGTGTAGTCTACTTTTGTGCCAAGTTATACTGAAATCAAACTAAAATTGTAGGAGGAGTAGCGTTTTGAAAAATTGTTTACAGACGGACAGACAGACAGACGGACGGACGCCGGACGCATTACTATCGCATAAGCTCTTCTGGTCTCTGACCAGTAGAGCTAAAAATTATGTGATAATATACTCTTCAAAAAAAGAAACGCCTAAAAGGAACAATGCCCTGGAAAATGTATGATAGTTTTGTCATACCTTTTATTTTTATATGGATATGATGTATTTGAGTGAAATGCATGATTTTTAATGCATTTGTTAACTTTACAGCTATTCTACAAGTCTCACACACAAAAAGGCCTGATTTTGCAAAATTTCTCCCAAAATTTTGATCTCAATTGTCAATTGTTGAATTCTGATGCAATTCCTTCTGGTACAAAGGGGCTATCAAAAGCGGGAGTTCTTGATATTTTGAATATGGTTTTATCTGAAAAATGACGCTTCCTAAAAATGCTGCATCTGAATGTTGCATAGCACAAAAAGGAAAATGGGCGACTGGAAGCAGGGGTACCACAATTTACAATTGCAAGAGGTTTTAATGTTACGCACGGCGCGATATCTAACCAATAAACATAAACCATTAACATCGAACACCCAATGTTCGCAAAAAATATGGTAGACTACGTGTGACATCAGCAGTACAGCATCACTTCAGAGGATTACGTAAATTGCATGAATGTAATGCAATGACGTCATCTAAGGTATTAGTTATCCCTGAACTGCACAGATCATCTAACAAGACCATTTTCAGTTCACTACGAATTATTACAAGAGGATTATTCATGCCATTGTTATGATCCCACAACACCCCAAATATCGACTTGAAAGATCTCAGATCAATAGAGTATGACCACAGCATCACTGCTGAACATTTTGGTTTAGCTCCTAGTCCAGAATTTGAAAGCCTCTTATAAGTTTAAGAGTGCTAATGCTTTGTAATGAATGTAAGACAGATAACTGCCTCCAGGACGTTAAAAAAGTTGGTGGTGGTAGTGTAATGATATAGAAAACGGTATTATAAGAAAGTAGGATTGATTTGGTTCTAATTCAATGGAATTTGATGGAAAAAGGTAATCTAACCATGTTCTACCTACACATGCCCATTCAAACTTGCAGCATCCTAGAGCCGTATTGCAATCTCACAATACACAGCCACATACGGCTCGTTTGACACTAAAACTCTTGCAAAGCAACAGCAACCTGTTTCTTCCACAGTCATCTAAATCGCTCGATTTAATCCAAATTAACCAGCATTGGGCAAAATGGATTCACATGATTTGCCAATCGCATCCTCAGACTCTGCAAAAGCTGAACAAAGTTCTACATTTGGAGTGGGGGAGTATTCCTGTACAGTTTTTATTACACACATTTGCTTCCATTAGATGCCGTTTGTGGCTATCATTTGTGTCTGCGGGGGGCATACCAGATATTGATCTTTAATAGCATTAAACTGACTATAATTTTAAAATTATTGAGTGATTATGACATTTAGATAGTATTCTTGTTGCTTACCACATATCTGTTTTATCAATGCATCATTTTACAAAACAATCTTCATGTTCAATGTATCACTAAAATTCTTGAAGAGTATAATACTGAAATTTCGATAAACATAGACTTTTTTAAAGAATTGTGATAAGTGCATAGGCTGCTCGCATAGGGATTGTTAAACATAAGGATATGGAGATAACAAACAGTATTCAATACTAGGAGACTTATTGTTCACAGAACAATAAGAGGTCTTTCCACCTTTTTAAATTTTTTTGTTTTATATTTCACTCTCTAATTTAATTTTAAGGGAAATGGCTTAAAAAAAGAAAATGAAAATTAATTTTTTTTTGTGAAATGACCTTGACCTTTGACCTTGATCAGATTTTCAAGGTCAAAGGTCAAGGGTCACAATGCAATTGACCCCATGCCTCTACGACTTTTAGTTCTATAGTTATAAGTTTAAATATTAAGTGCAAAGAAGTTAAAGGGCAATAACTCATATAAGGGGTCATTCGATCCTTTAGTACTTATACAATGAAGGTGTGCCAAAAGACCCCTAAGACATTAGTGAAGGTTTCATGCCTCTACGGTCTACGGTTTTGAAGTAGTAGCGATAACAATGTTTTTCGCATAAGGGGCAATAACTTTTGATAGGGTCAATCTTGGGGAACAAGAATGAAATCTTTGAAATAGATTGCAGAGTACATATTAATGATGCAAAGATTGATTGCATATGTTAAAAGACAAAAAATATATAAAAAGAGCTTAATTTCTCATTTTTGGAATGACCTTGACCTTTGACCTTGACAAAATATTCAAGGTCAAAGGTCAAGAGTCACAATGCAATTGACCCCATGCTTCTACCATTTACAGTTTTCAAGATACAAGGTTTAATAGTAAGTATAAAGAAGTTAAAGGGCAATAACTCATATAAGGGGTCATCAGAATCTTTTGCACTTATATTATGAAGTTAGGTCTAAAGACCCTTAAGACATTAGTAAAGGTTTGGTGTCTCTAGGGTGTACAGTTTCGGAGGAGTAGCGATAACAAGGTTTTTCGCACAAGGGGCAATAACTTTTAAAAGGGTTAATTTTAGGGGACAAGAATGAAATCTTTGAAACAGTTTTAAGAGTACATATTAATGATGCATAGACATTAAGTATATGTTGAAAGACAAAAGAGATACAAAAAGAGCTTATTTTCTCATTTTTGGAATGACCTTGACCTTTGACCTTAACATGAATTTTAAGGTCAAAGGTCAATGAATCTTATGCAGGTGGTCCCATGTCTCTACGACTTCTTGTTTTGAAAATTTTAATTATTTGTAAAATTCAAAAAGTTTCAGGGGCAATAACTCATTGAAGGGGTCACCGAATACTTTCGCAATGAATAGATTGAAGAGTCCCCTAAATTAGTCGAAGACATTCATGAAGGTTTCATACCTCTGCGGTTTACGGTTTCTGAGGAGTAGCGATAACAAGCATTTCTTGCGAAAGGGGCAATAACTTCAAAAGCGGTTAAGGTTCATTTACGCAGGGTCAACTGCAAACATCTTTTACGGAGTACATTCCTATGAACTATAAATCTTTTCGATATATCTTCAAACAAAAAAACATGCGGCGGAAAAATAATAATAAAAAAAGAATAACTAGGAGACTTATTGTTCACAGAACAATAAGAGGTCTTTGCACCTTCTCTTAATTTTTCAATTTTGTTTTATATACGACTCCTTAAAATTAAATTTCATCAACAAGAAACCAAAATTGTCTTAAAGGTTAGAAAAAATGAAAATTAAAAAAAATAAATTAAATGACCTTGACCTTTGACCTTAAAATTATTCAAGGTCAAAGGTCAAGGGTCACAATGCAGTTGACCCCATGCTTCTACGACGTATAGTTTTCAAGTTATAAGGTTTAATATTAAGTACAAAGAAGTTAAAGGGCAAAATCTCATATAAGGGGTCATAAGATTCTTTCGCATTTATACAGTGAAGTTAGGGCCTAAAGACCCTCAACACATTAGTGAAGGTTTGGTGTCTCTACGTTCTATAGTTTGGGAGGAGTAGCGATAACAAGGATTTTTTCACAAGGGGCCATAACTTTTAAAAGGGTTAATTTTAGGGGACAAGAATGAAATCTATGAAATAGTTTTAAGAGTACATATTAATGATGCAAAGACATTAGGTATATGTCAAAAGACAAAAGAGATATAAAAATGCGTAATTTCTCATTTTTGGAATGACCTTGACCTTTGACCTTTATATAATTTTAAAGGTCAAAGGTCACTTAATCTTATGCAGTTGATTCCATGATTCTATGACTTCTCGCTTTTAAAAATTTTAATTATTTATAATATTCAAAAAGTTTAAGGGGCAATAACTCATTGAAGGGGTCATCGAATACTTTCGCAATGAATAGATTGAAGAGTCCCCTTACTTAGTTGAAGACATTGATGAATGTTTCATACCTCTATGGTTTACGGTTTCTGAGGAGTAGTGATAACAAGCATTTCTTGCGAAAGGGGCAATAACTTCGAAAGGGGTCAAAGATCAAATATGGGGGGTCATTTTTCGGAATAACTTTTAATATCCAATATCATGAACTATAAAGTTTTTCGATAAGTCTTACGGTTTCAAAACATCTCCAGAAATAAAATAATAATAAACAGAAGCATTTCAAGAGGTCTTTCCACAGAAAGGTGGAAAGACCTAATAAACAGAAGAATATCAATAGGTCTTTCCACAGAAAGGTGGAAAGACCTAATTAAAGTCCATAAAACAATACAAAATAGGAGGAGAGCAAACACGGATCCGGACCTCCGAAACATCAGAGGCGGGATCATGTGCCATGGAGGAGTGAGCATCCCTTTCATAGAATCTGTCCTTAGTTACACATAAGAAATACATTTTCGTTATATCCCACGTCGCGGGTTCGAATCCCACTGTGGGACGTGGAGACCGGTCTTTCGGATGATACCGTTTTAACCGAGGTCCCATGTAGAAGTAGGTGCTGGCACGAAAAAGATCTCTCCCTGCTCAATGGCCCTCGGTGCCGAGTATAGGACAGAATTAGCACCTCTCCATCTGCAAGTGGTGGCGACTCCATATGAGTGAAAAATTCTCCGCGGCGAAAGGGACATTAAACAATATACAATCAATCAATCATTATATCCAGCGCTTGAAAAGCGGGAGGGTATATATATAGTAATCTGGATGTCCGTCCGTCTGTTAGGCTTTGGGTTACCCATCTCCTATATGTATCCGCAACTCCTCTCATACCACGGAATGAAACTTTCGCAGAATCTTTATTACATATTGCCATTGCACCTCCCCTTTTTTCTTTTAGATTCGACACATAATTTTGGTTTGTCATAGCAATACACGGATACTGTTATTATATTCATATGGGAGGCGGGGGTATCATTTTTAAGAGTTATTATAACGTCTGTTGGATATTTTCGAAAAATTAGGAGTCTCAACCCGTGTCTATGTCCAGTTGTTAAAAATTGAAAATAACGTGTTACTCTAACTGTAGTATTCTTTTTATTAGTCATTTTGAAATAAAATTCTGTAACAATGATGGCGTAATGAGAGATTACAAGTCTCCAAGAGTTTAAGTTAAATTTCTATTCAGCACTCGAGTCTTTATCAGTTTAGGATCTTTTCATGCCAGTGCCTAATGTGTCACGTTGCCTCAAATTTTAAACCAGGCAAATTTCACATCAAAGTACCAATTCTTCGTAAAAAATACATAAATAAACTATTTAAGGAGCAAATAAATTAAGATCATTTTTAGTTATCTGGCAGTGAGGATTCTTTTTCAAATCCCCCACCTACTACAACATGGGACAAAGTAATTACGGTGTCATATGCAAGGTTCAGTCTCCGCGTCAATCATTGGATTCGAAACCGTGTCTTTAAGATCAGCTCCTAATTTAAAGGGGGGGGGGGGCTAAAAAAGGCTTCGCCTGCTGCTCAATCCCATTCAATTAGTGAATAAATAAATTAAAAAAATATATATATCAACTCCTTACTCCGAAACTCTAGATGAAACGATCCAATTTTTAAAAACAACTCGCCACACGGGGACCAAGCATATTTCTGAGAGCATTTTATAATACATGTAGATACTGGTCTGAATATGTTAAGTGCATAGTTATATACCAGTTTGGACAAACTTAAACTGACAAAAGACATGCAGACAGACGCTGAAGGAACCCATACTCTCATCCAATTCAAAAAGTAGGACACATAATATTAGCAAACCTGTTTCTTATTTAAATCTGGCACCCCAAGTATATCCGTTTCTTATGATTTTGTTTGTTTGTATGTTGTTTAACGTCCCACTCGAGAATTTTTCACTCATTTGGAGGCGCCACAACTTGCCGGTGGAGATTTAGTGCTGCAAATTTTGTTCTATACTTGGTACTCAAGGCCATTGAACAGGGAGGGATCTTTTTCATGCTAGCAGATAATGCGACACGCGACCTCGATTTATACGATCTCATCCGAAAGACCGGTCTCCACGTCCCAAAGTAGAAGATCAATTTCTAACGCTTAGAGAAAATGTTTTTATTACAAATCTAAATGCTCTTTTTTTCGATGTTTGAAAACCTTAAGTCTTGGAATTACAGTACCCTTCAGAAAAAAAAAATTGTGTTTACAATTCTAATGAAATTTAAGCTGTTAACATCTTTGTGATCAATGCGTAGAGCATATTAAAGTACTAAGTACATGTATTTTCTTTAGAAAAACACGGGCGTGTTTTGAAAAAGGTGTTTAGTTTACATTAAGTAAAAATACCATTGCAAATTCAATGCATCATTACATGTTGTAATTCATACATGTATTTGACTTAATAAAATTTTCTTTACAGAACGACTTCTCTATCAACCATCATCAGCAGCGTCAGCTGAAGACAACATAGTCGCATTTTACGCGTATTTTTCTGCAGATGTTAGATCTTTAGGTTTATCAGAGACGTTGAAATATGATGTGGTGAAAACAAATCAAGGTAGTGGCTATCATCCAAGCTCAGGTGTATTTATTGCGCCAGAAGAAGGTTACTACGTATTTACCTGGACAATCCGACTGTATCATTACGGAGACTCCACAGCAGAAAATTTTTCCACGGAGCTTATTGTTAATGGCGACGTTTATGGGAGTGCATACTTGCGCGCGCATCTCGATGATGATGATCAGTCTACGGCAACTGCTGTTGCGCATGTTAACGAAGGGGAAGATGTTTACGTGAGAACTCATTCGAGTTACTCCTCTACAGGAAGCATTCGCAGTAACACTCACGGCAGATCTTCTTTTGCTGGATGGAAAATAAACTGAAGAGGGCAACATTGAGCAGAGTGGTTGATTATATTCTTTTTCATAAAAATTTCCATTAAATTTTGAATATAAAGGCAGGAAGATGTTCCGTTTATGAGTTTTAAAAGGTTCTTTCATATAGAGATTCTGAACAATAATCAAACCCTAGAGTCAATTAAAGCTTTACAAATAGTTTGCAGAGCATTTTGGTCACTGTGACCTACAGTTACTATTGTAAACCAGGGGCAATGACATTCAGTCTGGAAATACCATTGCTCATTATATCTATACACTTAGCATGTTTAGTTTGGTTACTTTTACCCATAGGCAGAGTAAGGGAACAAAAAATGCAATTTCAAATAATCAGTAATATTTCGCATTAATCAGTGGTTATCCCATCCACAAGAACCCCCTGAACCTAGGTCCACACATTTTACAATTCTGGAAAAGACACCCTTGTTCATCATAAATGTTTGATTAATATCAAGGAGCAGGTTTTTTAAAAAATGCTGAAACAAAGGTCTGCAATGACATTTGTTCCTCTAAAGAAAAAAACACTGGTCAATAATCAAAATATTGTCTTCTTTCTAAGTTCTATATTACTTTGAAATGAATGTCTTATCATATTGTTTTCTACAAAATTCAAGGATATTTGAAGTTTAACTGGATAATTCTGTCTTAAAGCTATAAAATTGATACTATCGAACGTAAGAGAGAGAGAGAGAGAGAGAGAGAGAGAGAGGTATATAAATAGCCCTCCCCCTTTATAGTCCCCCTGATCCAGGGGCCTTGAAGTTCACTATTCTGGAACAATGGACTTTGCTTATCATACACTGTAACTACGTATGTAGTTAGCTTCTTTAATACACAAGGACAGAGAAGAGTAGAAAAGATTTTCAAAGAATTCATGTTTTCAATAGATACCCCGCCCTAACACCAGAAACCCCGACCCTGGGTCCATGAAATTCACAATTTTAGAAGAGGCACCCTTCCTTATCATAACAATGTAGTTAGTCTGTTTAATACATAGAAGCAGAGAAGAATTTCAAAGAATAAATGCTTGTTCACTACGTAATCAGTAGAGCCAATACCTAACACAAGAACCTCGGCCCTGGGGTAATGAAATTCATAATTTTAGAAGAGGCACCCTTCCTCATCATAACTTTGTAAATATGAAGTTAGTTTGTTTAATACCCAAGAGCACAGAAGATTTTCAAAGAAATAATGCATTTTCCCTATATAATCTATAAAGCCCGGCCCTGGCACTAGAACCCCAGACCCTTGGGCCATGTATTTCACAATTTTGGTAGAGGACTCAATTCTTATTACATTCATACCAACAGTTTGACTGCTTGATGTCCTGAAATAAAGAATATTTTCAAAGACTGCATTAATTGTAGTGGTTTTGGCCCACCCGTCAGGCCCCAGGGGGAACAGCGACCACGAAAGTCACAATTTTTCCCTCTTCATCCAAAGATGCTTTATGCCAGAATTGGTTAGTGGTTTAAGAAAAGAAGTTGAAAATGTTTAAATGTTAACGCACAGCGCACGCAATGAATAAGTCACCTGAGTAAAAACATTAAAATGAACACGCCGCTTTGATCTTGTAAGCAAGAGTAGCTTTCAATCAGAAGTATTAAAGGTTTATGAAATCCCCCAGAATACATATTAAACAGAAAAAAAGTGCTCAGCTCAATTTCCATCCAGTAAAACTGGTGCGATACCGTGCAAAACTGAGGATATCACCGGCTCCGTGGTTTACAGAGTTGGTTCGGATATATACGACATCGTTTCTGGATATTTCAACCACCACATTTCCAGTAGCTGCAGCAACTATGTTGACACTGTTACTATCAGAAAGGGCACTTCCAATAACAGCTGAGTTTACTACCATCTCAGTATATATCGCACCATGTTGTTGACTATAAGTTGACCAAGAGAACACATAAACTCCATCAGCAGGTGCTGTGAACATTCCATTGTGGCGGTTATAAGCTTCTCCAGTGTTTGTCTTGACGTAGTCGAATATTATTGTATGATGTACACTAGGGGAAGGCTCAGTGGAACTAAGGTACGCATAAAAAGCCACAACACCTATAAATTTGTTTAGATATTTGGAATTTAAATAAAAACATACTCAATATATATATATACTAAATACATGTATTTAATTTACGAAATAAAAACTTGAAAGGTTATGAGAATCATAATCAATAAGAAAATTGCGGAAAATGCCCAATTTTATGCTATAACACATACATGTGTTTCAAGTATGAATCGTAAATAAAATAGAAGTATTATTTTTGTAAACTCTCACAAGTACCAGATATTTGTCGTTTACGAGAAATATCCTGTTCCTCCTTTTTACTATCTTGATAAGAAGCAATAGGTGAACCATTCTGTGAATGTAAGTTTGTGGCTGCGTATGTTGAGGATTTATTTAAAGACCTAGCCTTTTTGTCGTCTAGGTGTCTATTTATTCTTGACTTTTTGTGTTCCCCGTCACATCTGACTCTTAGGTCAAGTAAGATCCTTTCGTTTTTGGCAATAAGATTGCGTAAAAGGAACGAGAGAGCTTTTTGTACGACATTCGATAGGTATCAGAGCGCACTTTTAAACTGATCTGTCGTTTGAAATTTTAGCATTCTTTTGAAATAATGTGAATTAGGAAAGATGATTTTTATTTAAATTTTGTTGTCCCTCTCCATATCCTCATTTTTACGTCTGAGAAACTGCATTTGGTTTTGATGTTTTCTCATTTTTGCTGAACATTTTAAAAATACAAAGTGATGTAAATAATAATGTATATTGAAATTTATTCATTTTTAATTTAAACAAGATGTGTTTGTGAAACACTGTGCGCCGGCGGCAACAAAGTTAAAAAAAAACTACCTTTAGGATATAGGTCACAGTCAAGGTCACAAGGTTCTTGACCTTGGTGTCCTGTGAAAGAACTTAATTAGTAAAGTATGCATACCAAATATAAAGTCTATCTCTCATGGTTCAAAAGTAAAAGCGAAAGTTCGAAATAGCTATTTTAGCAGATAGTTCGTAGTCAAGATCACAAGGTCATTGACCTTGGTATCATTTGAAGGTGCTTCATTAGTGGAGTATGCACACCAAATATGAAGTCTATATCTGTCATGATTTAAAAATTATGGCGAAAGTTCGAAAAAGCTGTCTTTAGCAGAGAGGTCGTAGTCAAGGTCACAAGGTCATTGCCCTTGGTATCATTTGAAAGAGCTTTATTAGTGGAGTATGCAGTCTCTACCTCTCATGGTTCAAAAGTTATGGCGAATGTTAACGTTAACAATAGACGGACAGACAAACAGAAAAACAGACAGGACAAAAATAATCTATCGATCCAGGCGCATAAAAATCACAATATGTTTTTTAAAACAAAGTACGTTTAACATTTTATATACATCATGTCAATCGAAATTATATCAGTTTTAGTTATGCTTCAAAATTACAGTGACCCTCAACGTTAAAAATCTGATTTTTATAAGACTGGACATCATGCGTGTAACTGAATTGTCTTTGAAGGTTTTACGCCTTCGACACAGACGATCAAGGGTATATGCTGTTTTGGTCTGTCTTTGTCTCTGTCTGAAACTTAACGTTTTAAATGACGATATCGAGACTTCATATTTGTCACAAGGCATTTTTGACAAGGGCAGTTTTTATTACTATGACTTAAAGACAAAAATACAAATTAACACTTTTCCATCTCCTCTTTAGTCTGTATATGGCACATATAAACATGTACATATAGCACCTAGATAGGTTAATCAATGAAAAGCAGACTCTCATACCTTATTGTATTCTCGAGTTGGAGTATTTTTTCCTCTAACCGATGGAGTATTTCTCTATATCTTAAGGGTACCCTGGCATCGTTTTCTCTGTTTTCAGTCTCAGCACATGTAAAATGTACAACTGAAATGGTGAGTAAGAAAAGGCGAGCTATCAATGGAGTAATCATTGTCCTATCTGCTAAAATCGGGCAAGTAAATTTTGTACAGGACAACTTAGTGTTCAACTGTTCTTATCATATATAGGTTATATGTGAATGATAGAAATAAAACATGTACTAGATTATGGTTAATATTTATGAGAGTTTATTCACAGTTTGATAAAAGGAATCACTCGAGCACAGGGAATGATTGAAGTTTTTCATACGTATCAAATGTAAAGCATTAAAAAGATTCTCTGGCGATTCTGTAGCATTAATGGTTAATACATGTACTTATAACGAAGGAAGAGAAAATAAACATTGGAACTTGAAACTTTGCAACAATAATCAATAAATTCAAAAAAGACTCATTTCCTTAAGAAGATTTGAAAAAATGAAGACCAAAACTGTAGAAGAAGTAGCATTTTGGAAATATTTGGAGGAAATTTTCAATATTAGTAACCATGACAAAAACATTCTTCTACCTGTGTGCCACAATGAACGATACAAGAGGAAGACATAGGGAGAAGATTAGGCTTAGCCATGACTGTTTTTGCATCCCTTGCCAAAGTATGGAAGTAAGCACTAACTACGCTAAGCACAATACAGCTCAACAAACTTTTTAAGCTCACATGGTTTTTCGCACAAATTAAGGTCACATTATGCAATAAAAAATACCATATTTGAACTACAGTACAATAACATATCCCTTCGTTATATTACATATATAATGTCAAGCATAAATGTCTTTTAAAATTATTATCTTAAGTTTCCAAAGTGGATGTTTTAAAGGGGAACTTATGAATAAATGGTAGGATGTTTCGACTATACGATTCTACCATAGGTTTTTACAAATCGTATAAAACGAGCCTTCCTAGATACCATGTAGTTGATAATTTTTAATTTTCTTCTTCAAGGTGAGTGTTTTTTTTTTTTTTAAATCTTCGCTCATTTACCATACTTCTCTTGGTTTTGTAGAAATGTAGCGCCAAAAAGGGATAACATTGCAGAAGGAAACCACACTAAAGGGTAGGATAATGAAGTACTGTTTATTTTTTTGAATAGTAAATTCCTTCTATGGAAAGGAAAATTCTTCTGCATTTACGGTTTGAAAGTTAAAATTTTGCAGTAGGATGAATCTCTCATGATTCTAGATTTTAGAAGTTATACAAGCTATAAATTTTGAAAATCCACATTATTTCCTCTGAGAAGTAAAATATGAAATCCCTACTCTGAAAAATCCCACCTTATTAACATAGAAAGCAGTCAAATAGATGAAAAATACTGTTACCACCCCGAGTTAAAGAGTCAAAAAGTACAGAAAATACAAGTTACAGTAGCTGTACTGTGCCCATGTCTACTTTTCTGCCAAGAGCTATTGCTTTCAAAAGAACGGATAAAAAGACAGCTGCAATTGGAAAGAAACCACAAAAATTCAAATGAGAATTGTTATTTTTCAGCAATGAATATATCAAATTTATACCAATTGATTTGTGTCAATTATGTTTCAGTAAATGAAATACAACTTAAATTTTGTAAACAAATACTTTTAAAATGTATTTTGTTGTTTCGATACACAATATCACATTATAACAATGTGACCTTAATTTGCGCGAAAAGCCATGTGAGCTCAAAAGTTTGTTGAGCTGTACAGCTCAAAGGCCAAACATAAGATATTTAGATATCTGTGTTGCTCTATTATTCTGAACTAAGGATTCAAAGAATTGCGGTCGGCGCTTTCGTTATCTTTGTCGGTGAGATGTCATTTTTTAATGACATATTGTGTCTAATATCACTGACGATCACTCAGAAATCATAGCTTGCTCGGAAATATCTTGTCACAGGTAATGCACATGTCAAATATGAAAGCTCTACCTCTTCTCAATATAAGGAACAAGGACTGATGACCCCGTATGGCAACATTGCAAAAATTTAACTTTTCTTAAATGCAAATTAAATATATTATTACCCAAAGTAGGGTCTTCTCACAAGAAAAACGATTGTAAAATATGAAATCCCTAGCACCACCTGTTCAAAAGTTTTGGCCGAGTATAAATTTTTGAAAGGTAAGTCAAACTCTAAGATCAAAGGGTCTTAAACTGTAGTTGTTGGCTTCTTGAGAAAGGTCTTGTAACAAGTAATACATATGTGAAGTATGAAAACCCTAACCCTAACTGTTCAAAAGGTATGACCAAGGATAAAGTTTTTATAAGTAGGTCAAACTCCAAGGTAAAAATTCTTGGTATCCAATAAAAGGTCATATCACAAGGATTACATATGTGCAGTATGAAAGCCCTAGATTTTACCATAGGGACCGGTAACATACTGTATTCTATTTTACGTAATCACTATATGTAAACAAAAAGAGAAAGGGAAGCAACATCAGCCCGAATTAACACAGGATCGATCTCGAAAATGTTTCGTGTTTTCATTAAAATACCTTGCAGTTAGTGGAATAACGGCTGGAATCATTCAGCAATAATTACTCTTTAATAAAAATATCACGGTCATTTAAGAATCGTGTAAGTCGTGTTTTGCAAATCCGACATCCTGTCATGCAAGTGATGTAGTTAAAGTCGTCCACTAAATTCGCTAAACATTGCATCCAAGATTTAACGCGAGATGTGATTGGTAAACAGTGCTTTTCTAGGCTCCACCTTTTACCTTACATGAGTTTTTCCAAAATGTCTGCTCTCGGCTCGGGCCTTGTCGTGAACTGAAAAAGCCACCGTATTTATTCAAATCGAAGAGGTTGTGCGTTAAAATTGCAATTAACAAAGGAAATAGATGAATTTCGTTAACGCTGGATATTCAGCTTGTGTTTTCCAGCTCCGGAAAAACTTCAAACCGGAAGAAAATGTGCGAATTTGACCTCTTTAACATGTAAGTCGACGACTTAAAGTACATCGACTCGCACAACTGGATATCGAGTTAATATATCCTAAATTAAACGCTATATGAATGAATGAGGTTTCTGTTTTATCAAAGAATATTTATTGTAGTATGATTCTTTATAATTTAATTGGCTGCATGTTATTTTCTATGAAATACGAAATATTTCCGAGATCGACCTTGTGTAAATTCGGGCTGATGTTGTTTGCCTTTCTCTTTTTAAATGCATATTGTGATTGCGTAAAATAAAATACACTATGTTACCGGGCCCTGTGGATTTTACCACTTAAAAGTTATGGCCAAGGTTAAAGTTTTTAATATAAGTACGGAAATCTCCAAGGTCAAATTTGTTGGTATCAAATGAAAGGTATTGGTACAAAGAATACATATGTGAACGAGAGATGTTTGTAAAATACTTATGCAAATAATTGGAATTTTTCTAAGTCAAAGGGGCATAACTCTTTCAAAATGGCGCAATCGTACCCAAAACAAAACTTGACCTAGATATTTATCTGTATACTAAATTTCATTTCAGTATGTGTAACGGTTGTGAGGAAAATGAACGGAAACTGCAAATAAGTGGAATTTTTCTAAGTTCAAGGGGCATGACTCTGTCATGTTAAAACAGAACTTGACTCAGATATTTATCTGATATATCCGTATACCAAATTTCATTTCAGTATGTGCAACGGTTGTGAAGAAAATGAACGGAAACTTAGTATACCGACAGACCTACAGACAGCAGCAAAGCAATATGCCCTCCTTTTTTCGAAGGAGGGCATAGATATGAAAGTCCTAGTA